CCGTTTCTTTAACTTTGTTTCATTGACGGTATATGTAATTTTTTTTTTCTTTTTGTAAAAATTGCAGCTACAACGAAGTATATGTTGCATTTAAAAGTCAGTAAAAATTTTCATGTTTTGAATGAGCAGCATTATCTTGACTTTATAGTTAGTAAATATCCACAAAATTGATAGTGCCGATGGAAAAATGTACTGAAAATATACTGTATATAAACATCAGACTATGAATAAACACTTCAAAACACGAATCATCAGTCACCAACTTTCTCAACTGAATCCATTGAATTCTCAAATCGCCTAAACATAATAAAATCTCATCGATAATATTACATCAAATTTAATACACACTGCATACAAGGTACCAGTTCTAGAGATACGAAAAAAACCAAATAAATCAAAATCAATCGCATCAACATACAGTTAAACCCAGATTCAATCTTACAGCCATCACACGAATTAAAATATTTACAAATCTAGCAGGTTATCCTCATTTTCCTCATCGAGATTGAGGGTCACCACCCTGTCGCTGTGGCAGTAGACTCTGACGAAATTGCAGGGATCGACAGTGAAATCCTAGGAGGAGAATCAATTCGAGTCGGGCAGATCGAAGAGCCCTTTCGAATCGATTGGAGAGCGAGAAAATCAATTGGGTTGAGCATCAGCTGCGTGAGGAGCAAAAATTGGGCGAAAAGTACGAAAACCGCAGGGAAACTTCATCGCCAGAAAAAAAAAAATAGAAATAAGTTAACTTAAATGTGAATTCTAGTATATGTGCAAATATATTGGGGTGATTTTGTATCTTTGCAAATAAATATTAATTAGGTGTAAATATGTAATATAAAATATATTTGATAGTATGGGGTGCAAATTCCTCAATAATAAATTAGTCCACTAAATATTTATTATTACACTACTTTTTTTCAAAACCAAATTACTATGTTGGAAATTAATGCACCTACAAGGGTTAAATTATTACTAGTGCTCAACAAAAATCAGAACAAATGATTTTAAAAATATACAAACAATCGTGATCCACAATTTTGATTACGGATCAACAATTTTGAACATGCTATTTGTCAATTCAAGTTTCCTCCTTGTTCTTGTGTACTTCATAGTTACATGATCTGATGATCATGGTATTTTTGCTTGATATTATTGGATTCATATACAATATCTCTATCTTCGAATTAAAATACACATTGTCAAAACAATATTACCCGTGACCAATTTATTTAAAAAGAAAACTGTGAATGACCAATGTCAGCTTATATCACATCTTACCGAAGTATTTGCTCCAAACCAATTAGAGAACTTGTTAGTAAATGTGATCCATTTGTTACTGTGAAGTGTCAAGGTGTGACCGTCGGCAGCCCATTTCCACCGGCCCAGACATTGGCCCTACATTTTTAGCCCAAAAAACGATCTATTGCGAGTTGCGACCCATCTTCTCCAAGGGATTGGTACAAAATGAATTCGATTGCAATTTGCGACGCATTCGTCGGACCGATTTTCCCATTTTTAAGTTTTAAGTTTTTAACCCATTCACCACGCCAACAATGCCCCGTTCACCCTCCCCCGACGGCGCACCGCTCACCGCCGGCGGCGGCCCTGAGCTCTCATCAAACGACTCCAACCTCTCCGCACTGGAGAACCCTAACCGCTCGCCACCGGTGGCTGAAGGACCACTGAGCTCCGAACAACCACCGGCCGACTTCGACGTCCTTCATGTCTCTGGGCCGCCGCTGAATCCTTGGAGCAAAAAAATCCCGCCGCCTCCTCCCGTCGCAGCACGAACCCTAGCCGCGGCTGAGCGAAGGTAAGCGGTTCGAATTTCGCCGTGGCTTTATTTTCCAGCTGCTTAATTTCTCCTCTCTTTGTTCGTCTGTAGTGAAATCAGCAGGAGGCTTCTCTGGAGTATCACGGCTTCACTCGCTTTCCTTGCTCTGGTCGGTGTTCGGCTTGCGCGGCATGCTCCCCATGGAGAAATTAACCCGTTGAAGCTTCTGAAAGTGGTAACAAGCACCTACGCATACATCTTCATCCTACTCCTGCTGCCGTTCACACACCAGATTCGGAAAATCGAGCTCGGACTCGTGCTCAACTCGCTGGGTCTCTCTGTGCCGATTGGGTTGGCCTTCTACTCGGAGGATGGCTGGGTACTGGTCATGGTCAATCTCATTTTCCTCCACATTGTGGCTTTAGTTAATTCAGCTGTGGTCTCTATCAAAAATTTCGACGTGGCTTATATCATTCTCACAGTTGTCGTGAACCCATTGCTATTTGTCGCCGACAAGCACGAAAGGTTGGGGTTGGCCTTCCGGTTTATATATGTGTATTACGTCGTTTATGCACTGTCATGGATCAAGTTTCTTCGGCATTTTGTGGCCAAAATGAAGGTACCTGAGTTTCCTGAGGTTGTGTGGCGGGTCAGGGATGTGTTGGCTGATGTGTCGGGGGACTACTTGCGTAAGGTATCCATGTGTGTGCGTGTGAGTTTTGATTTTCTCAGATAAATTTGTGGTATCTATGTGGAAATTTGGTTTTTTTCATGATACATGGAGTAGTTTGGGGATTCTTTTTTATACTCTGTATGTATGGAAGGGTTAACATATGGAGGACTACTTTGCATAAGGTATCCTTGTGTGTGCGACTGCGTTTTGATGTTCTCCGGTAAATTTGCATTATATATGTGAAAATTTTTTATTTTCTCATCATACATGAAGGAGTTTGGGGAATCATTTTGATGCTCTCTATATATATATATGGAGGAGTTAACATGTGGAGGATTGATTGCGTAATGTATCCGTGTGTGAGTTTTGGGTTTATTTTTTTGTGTTCTCTGTTTGTAGTTGTATGTGGAGGGGTTATGGCTTGTGGGGCTTATTTTGACGTTCTCTCTTGACAAAACCTATATGCAGCGGACTTCAAGTATTTACGAGCCATTGCTGAGGTCCTGCACATCAAAAATCAGTAGCCTGACACAAGAAAAGAGTTTGGGAGGTCAGGCCCCGAGCTAGCAGCTGGCTGGACAGACATTTGTAGTTCCAAGATGTGATGCTCTTTAATCTGTAGGAACTTACTTGACTTGTGAACTCGGGTTTGCTCTCTGCACTTTTTAATTTTTCTGTATAAAGTAGGAACTTGACTGGCGATTTCAGGGATTTGCTCCGGTTTGCACTTGATGTTTTCAGTACAATGTTGCGACTTTAACTACTAATTTCTAGGATTTTCTATGTTCATATTTAGCTTGTTATTTTCCGGTACAATTAGGAACTTGGCTGGTGATGTTTGCTAAGTGTTTGGTTCAGTGTACCGTTTCTTTGTGTTTGTTTATGCATTGCTGGCCATTTTCTGCAGGGGTAACTATGACCCTATTAATGTAGCAAAAGGTCTCATTGACATGCATAAAAAATAATGAGATTCCTACTATTCATGTCTTGTAAATAAAATTTTATATGTTATATGTGTGTGTAATATTGAAAATCATAAGTTAAATAATAAGCATATCATATTTTATAAATTTTATCAATAGTAAAAATGAAAGGTACAAATATAAACTATTACCTTACATATCTTTATATCAATTGCAATAATATAATTTATTCAATCTTTGTTGATTATAAACATTTGATTTGGTTATATCATGAAAAATAACTAACTAATGTTAATAAAAAGACTTGCTTAATGAGTTAAAATAGAAAAAAATAGTTTGATAAAAAAGTTTTTAGATTAGAATATCATTTAATGTGACTTTATGATTTGTTAGTAATAGTTGTTATATAATATAAAAATAAAAAATATAAATACTTAATTAATACAAAAATAACGTATTTTGTAGGGAAAATAAAATATTTTTGTTAATTACTTTGCTAGCAATTATATATATATATATATATAGATTCTCCTGAGCTCATTTTGAATATATCATCAATCTGACACACCAGGACATATTTTCCGTAAATAATTAACGGCACACCATACAATCTACATTACTTCCCAACTCACCAACACTATTGATTTAGTAGAATAAATCTAACTTTTTGGTGAATCAATAAAGTTTCTAATGAATGCACGTGTCCGCTAATATTTTACGGATAAAGAGTACGAGTAATAACTGAGATTTTATTTATTTACTTGGTAAGTGTAAAATAAATTAATTCTCTGTGACCCGTTCAATACAATCTTAATGTACTAGTATAATTCATTAGTTAAAATCAATTAATTCAAAAGTTACACTACAACCATTCACCATTGTTAGTTCAATTCTATATAGATTGTGAAGCATTCTTTATATTTATAAGGAATTGGTAATATGATATTTTATTCAACACGATGAACCATATCCCTTCTATGTATTAATTCAAAACGTGTTGAGCCTAAGTGGCAGACTCGCATGCTTCGGGATCTTATGTGGCAAAATTACATGTTTCGTTATTAGGCTTGGGTAGATTTTAATTTACTTTCAATCCAAAAATAATTAGGTCCGGATTATCCATAAATATGTTGAGTATTTATCGTCGTGCTACATGTATTTATTGTATTTTAATATCATTTCTTATTATAACCATTGAATTGTAAATGTATTTTAAAAGTTAATAACTTTTATATTTTTAATCAGTTTTACATATATAATATATGGAATTAATCACCTCTTGATGAGCTTCGATTTAACATTCATATTGTATATATAAAAAAAAATTATATTTATCGTTATAGCAATAATAAAATTATTCTTTTAATATTAATTAGAAAAATAAAACTATTTATCAATTAATATATTTATATTTTAAGAAGTTATATGATATAAGTTATAAAAATAAATATAATATAACACATGTAAGTAGCACAAGTAACAAGTGTCATTCTAAAATATATAATAATACATATCTTTTGTAAAAAAGTAAATATTTTTTCTCATTAATTTTAAAATTTAGGAATAATTTTTTAACAAGCACCCATGTAATACACGGGTGTTGTACTAGTTAAATTATTAATCTACAAAGTAAAACAATAGAACATACACGTGTTTGCTAATGCATGAGTCTCATTCAAATGAAAATAACTTCGTAACTAAGCCAAACTTTTAGTATACAAATCAATACTAATAATACTAACTAATTTTAAATTCACACTAAATTGTATATGAATGTTACATATTTATTAAAAATGGTGTTGCATATTTTCTAACTATTTATTCTAAAATAAATATTAACTTTCTTTTTGCTTCTCATTAAATGATTTTTTTTTTCAAAAATCAAAATTAACTAAATGGTTTAATGGCCTATTAAGCCCCTTAAAATTTAATAAACAATAAATTGAAATAAATATAAATTGAAATAAGTTTCCTCTACCAATAATCTCCACAAGAACACACCATTTCAAAATGATGAAACCTATTAGCATGATAGCATCCCTCACAATTATAGTCCTCTCAGTAATCCTACATATAAACTTAGTGAAAATTATGGCAGTCTAAACACACCCTCAAATTCTTGATGATCCTTATCTCCTCACCTTCTTCAGACATCATAATCCCAAAAGCAATAGCCAATATCTCACTATGAACACTCACCATCAGCTCCTTCTCTTCTTCCTCCACGTCATGCAGCGGCGTAACAGTCTCCGCAAGATAACCGGCATCTTTCATCTTCCCCATTAATTTCTCGAGCATATTGTAAATAACTACAGAATCGGGATGCGATTTATCACCCGACGTAAAAACGTGTTGTAATCCATTGATCTCGATCAGAGTGCAGCCAGGAGTCTTGCCAAGATTCTTTTTCTTCACCACTTGTCTTAGTAAAGCTGCATGAGAATAATTGTTGTTCGTGCAATATATATTTGAAAGCAGAACACGATAGCCAACGTTTTCAGGATCGAGTTCGAACAACCGATCAGATGCCAGCTGTGCCAAGCTAGCGTTTTTGTGAGTCATGCAAGCGCCCAACAACGCGCCCCACTCAGCAGGACCCGGTTTTATGGGCATCTCGTTTATAAATTTTAGAGCATCTTCTAATTTTCCTGCCCTGCCAAAAATGTCCACCATGCACGTGTAGTGCTCTGAGCTTGGCTCGAAACCATGATCGTAAACCATTGTACCGAAAATTCTTTGACCCCAGAATGGCTGCAAGCATATAGAATCGATAGAAAAGTAACTCTAGTTGGGTTAACCCCAGAAAGCACCATCTCATTATATAGCTTTAGTGCTTCACGGCCATGGCCATGAAGGCCGTACCCAGAAATCATAGCATTCCAAGTCACGATATTTTTTTCCTCCATAATGTGAAATAAACTTTCGGCCTCGTTTATGCTGCCACATTTCATGTACATGTCGATTAAAGCAGTTGACACGTAGATATTCGGTTCGCTCTGTTTTTTAATTAACTCATGCACCCATTTTCCGAGAGCTAAGGCGCCAAACTGGGCACATGCTGACAAGATGCTCGTGATTGTGACGGGATTTGGCTGAATATCGAGCTTCTGCATTTTGTGAAACAGAGATAGAGCCATTGCAGTCTGGCCATTCTGAGTGTAACCGGATATCATGGCATTCCATGAAGCCAAAGTTTTTTCTGATGACTCGTCAAATATGTCTCTAGCAAGGTCGAGCTCGTTAAGCCGACTATAAACGGTTGTCAATGCAGTTGAAACAGAGGGATTGAGAAGAAACCCAGATTTCAAACAAAAGCTATGGATCGAATGAGTGAAATCCAAATGACCGAATGGATAAAACACGGGAATTAAACCGACAATTGTGCTTGAGATTAGTTTGCGTCCTGACAAAAGTAATTCTTGAAATAGTTCGAGGAACATCGCATATTCGTTATTAGCAGAAAACCCAGAAATCTTTGCATTATACGCGACCAAATCCGGGTTCCTAATCAAACTGAACAACAACCGAGCAGTAAAAATATCTCCACATTTTGAATACAGACAGACCAAACAAGTGAGCACATGGTCGTGATAATGACACCCGACCTTCACAGCCAAAGCCTGGACAGTCATCCCGGTTTTAATCTCCTGCAACTTGGCTAAAGCTGAAAGCACCACAGCCAATGTAGTCGAGTCAAACTGTGTCGTCCTCCCGACCATATCATGGAAAACCCTAAGTGACTCATGGTAGCAGCAATTTTTCGCCAGCCCAGAAAGGATTGTGTTCCAAAGAACAGTATCTGGCTCGGGTATTCCATCAAACACCTTGTACGCATTACCAATCATTGAAAAACTCATGTACATGTCCACTAAAGCCGAGCCCACAAACAAATCCGACCCGAAACCGGAAACTACAGAGTGCCCATGAAGCAAAACCCCGATTTTCTCGGATAAGGGAGTCGGATAACCAGAAAAGGCCGAAAAAAGAAATATATGTGAAATTGTCCGGTCTGAAATTCGTTTTCCAGAGTAGATCCTCGTAGACAGACAAAGAATCGAAAGGGTTGCTTCTAAATCCTTTGATGAGCACATTGTAGAGAACTAGATCGGGTGAGTTGATGCCGGAAAATAGGAGCTTGGCCTGATCGTTGGCTCTGAGGTGCAGGAGCTTCTGGATGAGCTTTGTAATGGTTTGGGTGTCGTTGACGAGGTTGTTATGGATGATTTGGGCGTGCGTTTGATTGAGGTGTGAGAGCGTATTCGCCAGCTTGATTAAGCCCAGGAAGAAGTTTCTGTCACGTGGGAGAGCTATGGCTCTGCAAACCATTGAAGAATGTAAAACATTGAAATTAGATGCTTTACTGGTGAAGTCAAGATTATTCCATTTCCCGCGGGTCTGAAAAAAATAAACACAAAATTAAAGTAAATGCAAGTAATAATTATGTTCTCCTTATGATGAAATTGTAGGCACAATTAACAATAAATATATTCTAGATTCAACAACTTTTAACTTGTATATAGCCATACTTCCATTATACAAGTCTTAGGAGAAAAATACTATTGTTGGAACTATCAAGATTTGATGAAAAATTAAAACACACAATATGTAATCTAAAATTTGAAAAAGAGAAATCAAGAGCTTTTTTATCTCAAGTGTAATGAATGATTCATGTATATGGGTGTTATAGGTGTAACGGAACACCTCTAGGAGGTTTAAGTATCAAAAGACATCTTTTGGGATGTGCCCGAACAAGAACGGTCATATCAGGAAGCCGAAAGACGCCTTATGCTCACCAAATGTCGCGAGCTTCACGGGCCGCGATAAGCATCGCGACCGGCAGCCGAAAACTTGTCACCAGAGCTACTATAAATCTCTCAAGTTTTATATTTCATATGGTCTTCATTAGGTCTTTTATTGGGTTGTATACCAAAAGCTCGACTTTATTCATAAATGTATATCCAACTTTTTTTTTTTTTAAAGAATCATGTTTAGTCAAAAATGCTTATTCTATTATTTTACATTGTAAGTATATGACAATATGATTAGATGTTTCGAACAGAAAATCATAATGTCATTTCCTTGTAAAATATAAAGTATGGTTCACAACCTATATAAAATTGAACAAAGTATTGTGAAATGTTGTAGTGTAATTTTGAATTAGTTTATCTTGGCTAATGAAATACATTAGTACATCTTAGATGTACTGAACAAACCACAGTGGATAACATCATTTTATACGGACCAAGTAAATAATCTAGACCTCAGTTATTACTCGTACTCTTAAGCTGTAAGATAATGAATGGTCGTATGCATTTAGTATCTATAACTTTGATTTAAAAAAGAGTGAGATCCAATTAGTGGGCTAATATAATGGGTGATTGAGTTTTAAATGTTAAATGCAGTATGTTACAGTCACTGTGTCCCGGTGAGTCAGTTTGATGACGTCTCTGAAATGAACTCAAGATTTTTGTTATGCGAACCCCTAGTGGTGGATTAAGTTCTGGCATAATGAAAATGTTGAATGGTACTAATTAGGGGAATAAGAGGTCAATTAATTATACAGTCAGTAGTAAAATTAATTAACTGACGTTAGATGTTAAACATGAGTAGATAAATCGAGTAAATAAATCTGGAGTTTAATTAATTATAATTTGGCCAAACCATTGAGAGACGTGAGGGTCTTTGATGTGGGATGTTACTTTCGGGTCATAACAAAGAGAATTGTGATAACTTTTGCAGAAAGTGGTCATTTTCGGATCAGAACTTTGAGAAATGTAATGACCTTTGCAAAAAGTGATCATTTTCACATCAAAGTATTGAGAGACGTGAGAGTCTTTGCAGTGAGAAGCCATTTTCAGATTAGAACATGGAGAAATGTGATACCCTTTGCGGAGACTGGTCATTTTCGGATTAGAATATTAATGTCTTTTTTATGTGTTAAATTTGTAGTCTTTTTAATGGTGTGTAACTTTTCTTTTTAAATATACTAATAAATATCAAAGAATATTTATTAAATAAAAAAATGGTCCATTTCCAACCAACACATTTGGGTGATTTTTCAATAATTTGGAAGGAAGTGGTGCCAATTTGTCAGATTACTAAATCTATGTATGTTGTTTAATTTCGTAGTTTATGATGTATTTTTCTTTTTTGTATTTGTGTGTTATATTTTATGATTGATGATGTATTTTTATTTATTAAATAAATAAAAAGAATACGAATTGTGCAAGTTATGATATATTTTAATTAAAAAATGTATTGTATTTTCAATTTTTTAGCAATAATTGATGATTTATGGATTTTTCAAGTTAATATTTAATATGTCCAAAATATAATTATACAAAGTATAGGGGCAAGAGATAGAATTTTGGAAAACATTTGCGTTCCAGCACATTGAAACGCATATTTGCATTTTTTCCTTGGAGAGAGAAGAAGCAAAATCTCATTTTGTGTTTGGTCATGAGATTCGGTTGGAACAAAATCCTTTCAAATTTTGCGTTTTCTTTGTGATATGTGGTACCGTTGGAGATGGTCTTAGTGGCCGGACGGTGAGACAGACGGTTGTTTTGGACGTTGTATTTAGTATACCCGTTTTAATCAGGTTACCGGTGCTTGGACGTTTTGATTGGTAGCGCATTGATGTTTTTGGCTCTTATGTTGTGCAAACTAACTGTATTACTTGACTATTTTTGTGTCTTTCATACAAAGAAACGCCACTACAAGCTCTTAAAAAAAAGTAATGTGGTTATGGACAAATTTTAGTAAGGTACATAACTACTGGTAAAAAAAAAAACAAAATATAAATTTATTTAAATCTAAGGGTGAAAAAATATTAAGACCATAGGATTATATTGTACTCCATATGGAAATGGAATCGAAAGGAAATTATTCAAGTACGAAGATGAGTTGCCACCGAATTGATTTATCATAGAAACTTGATGAGTTGGTACAATTTAATTGTTATTACACATTGAAGTAAGTAGGTATAATTATTGAAATAGACGCAGAATAAAGGAGATAATAATAATAATAATAATAATAATAATAATAATGTGCACGCACTAGTAGTAGTAACTTATAAACCAGAGCTCCAAGTGACTTGGATCTTGACCATATTGTTGCGATGTTTGTCGCCGTTTAGGGTGGTACTACCTGTAAAGGCATGCGGGATAGGAAAGACAAAAGTTTGATCAACAAGTAGTTCGTCACTCCATATGGTGTTATGATCATAGAGACGTGCAGTGATTTTGAGATTAGTGGCGGTGAGTGGGACGGCAACAGTAGACTGCAACAAGGGAATGTTGGCGTGTGTTTGTACCGAAGCATAGTCTCGACTGGGCGAATCAAACAACCATATTCTGGCATCGGCATCCCCCCAATCGCCATAATGCGCGTAAATCTGTCCGTACACTTGGGAGGTGGAGTCGCTCGCTTCCGCAAGATTAACAAAAACGGTGGCGGCCATAGCATCTCTCATCACTGCGTAACGGGCAGTGACTGTAGCAGAGCCGGAGGCCCCACCCTGTAATGGGACAGATATGAGTCGGTCATATGGAGTGCCGAGGTTGAAAGCATCCCACAAAATGGTGTGACTCACCAATGTGCCCTGATGAGCCAACCTACTGGAGTAGGAGTTGTAGTTGTTGCTGTGTATGATGAGACCCTCGTCATCTACACGGTAACTATTATTATCTGTTTGGGTGAAGATGAGTTCGTCATTGAACCTGAGGAGCAAGTTGAGAACGATTTGAGTCTCGAGAAAAGCAGCAAGAGGTTTGTCTAAGGGCATATTGGGATAAATGTTGGTGGTGGAGAGGGGCTCGGGTTTGTCCTTTGTGCGGTTGTAGACAGTGCGTGTGGACAGGCCGTTATTGATTGTGATGGTCCCAAATATTGCATCATAAGTGTGGTTGCTGCCGACTGATCCCTTGATCTCGATCGAGAAGAGTTGCAACATCGGCATGCCCACAAAGCACTTGTCAGTATTATTATTATCATTGTTGTTGTTGTTTAGTAAGACGGCGGATGCAAGTGACATTGTCTTGGGTGGTTGAGTGTAGCAAAGTCCCAACAAGAGAGCCACTACCTGAACAATATGTTGGATGTTCTGCACTTGCGTGATGTCCGGTTGTACTCCCGGCGGCAGATCTATCCTATCATTCTCGGGAAGCATGAAGCGCTCGGCAGGGGGATTGGCCTCCGGGTCGGCATCAAGGCGCCATAAGAATCCGCACAAGTTGCCCCAGCTGCGCACCAAATTGAGCATCCAATTAGGGATTTTGGAGGACTCATTTGATGTCCCCTGAGAAAGCCTCGTCATGTGGGCTAGTACCGGAGCGAAACGCGCTGCTTCGCATATCATGAAAATCACAACCGTCAGGCTTATTGCCCTAGTCTGTTTCGCGTCTTTATCATCATCATTCGTATTGTCCAGATTGACTATGGCTGTTTCTAAATAGGATCGCCCAATGTTAGTCTCAACAATCCCTGGTCCCGCCTGTGATAGTGACACGTACGAACACCCGAACCCCACATTTTTTGACCCCCCAATCAGTGAAGACCCTTCGAACTCATACCAGTCTTTGTTCCTTCTCTCAAACCCAATCAAGTACAGATTGTCATTACGTAACCTGAATCTCACCCGAACGGTATCAACCTGCACAAAAATAAATAAATAAATATCCATTTACAAATAATTTCTAGTGTTATATATTTTTGTAAAAAAATGATACATAGCCAACCTAGTGTACAACTAGATTGACAACACAATTGGAAACATCTACTTGTCTATTTTTTTTTTATTTTTTTTTGTAGATATTTTTTACTTGTGTTGTCAATCTAGATGTACACTAGGTGACAATGTAACATTTCTGATTTTTGTTCAAAGGTCTCCAATATCGGCTATAACCATTTTTTTTATATTGAAATATCATATTATAAGCATAGACTTTTCTATTTTAAATATATCTCTAATATATGCTATTAAATTGATATGGATACCATACTAGGTCGTGTGCGATCTAAAGAGCGGTCTGACAGTATCGAATGAACCGATAGGTCGATCAGACATTGAGGAGGTCAAAGGTGGTGGAAGCACCAAGTCGATGATGACTTTACAAGTAAGGTAGCTCGCCAATAGGTCGAGTTAGGGCTCTCGGCTAGCCTGATGGAAAATCGACCAGAAAGTTTGCAGGTCGATGTATGACCTAAGAGATAAACTTACTCGCTGAAGGTCAGAGAAACTTAGTTCAAGTGAAATTGAGTCAATAGCACAATTAGGCTACCTAATGAGGTTGAGTGATGTAAACACACCACATAATGGATAAGAAAGAATATAATTAATAAAAGGACACGTGAATAGATCCACGTGGACTAACAGAATTAGGCAGTTCGGGTAGTCGGACAATACGAACGGATAGCTCGGGCACTTGGGTAACACCTTTATATAAAGGGGGTGAGATATAATCATTTAGACTCTACACACTCTTATACTACATACATATATACACAGTTGATATTTTTCGTCGTGTTCTCCATCACTGGTAACTGAATTAAGCATTTGAGCTTCTACATCAGGACCACCCCGACACTGTTTTAAATTGTAGGTCATTTACCAGCTCGTGGATAGATTCAAGGTCGTTAAACCAGGTCCAGGTCATTTGCACAACCATAAATGGTCTAACTTTCTTTCATGCTCACCGAACAAATATATAGATTAATATGAACTAGGGACCGAGTATGTTAATAGCTTTTTATTACTATTAGTACTTAGCATGTGCAAAGCACAAGACAATAATAATAAATTATCTAAACTAAAACAAATAAGGGTCGTTGATTAACATAAGAATATTTTTTAATATTGATATTAATTTTGACCTTTCTTTTACTTTTATGAGATATAATAGTTTAATATATGTTTTATATGTATATATCACACGCTATACACACANNNNCTCTTACTCATTTCAATTCCTAATAGTACAGTTGAAAGAATATGGTAAAAAATATAGGGTTAATTGCCAAAAAAATCACAACTTTTTGCTTAATTGCAAATAAAACTCAACCTTTTAAATTTTACACATAAAACTCAACCTTTTTAAATGTTTGCAATCTTGTCTCAAAGTTGACTTCCAGCAAAGGTCTGCTGACGTGGACAATCGGAAAATTGATGTGGCAATCAAATTAAATAATTTATGCCACATCAGACATGTGTATTTACACATCACACCCCCTCCACGTCATATAAGCAAATGAAAAGAAGAGCAGAAATCTGAGAAAAAAGAAAAGAAAAAGGAAATCTGAGAAAAAAGAAAAGAAGAGCAGAGCTTTCTTCTCCATTATTTGATTTCCCATTATTTGCAGAAATCTGAGAAAAAAGAAAAGAAGAGCAGCAACGAGCTTTCTTCTCCATTCATTCCACGGGCTATGCGATTTACCTCCATAGTGGTCGATGTCTTTGGGGAAATTTAACAAACACCTTGTAGACAAGAGTTTGAAGTAGAGAGCTTGGATGAAGGCAACAATGGTGGAACCCAGTGTGTATCTCACTTCAATTGCAATAATTCATCAACGAACCCAACAATTCAAATCCTTCACAAAGTAGCAAGAATTTTTATTACCGGAAAGTGGATTCTCAAATACGCTATGTGGAATAGTGGACTTGGAGCTCGAGGGAGATGAGGCGGCAGGGAGTGGACGGCTTCGTCGCTGCTCGTGGCCGGAGAGGACGCCGGCGAGGATGGACGGAGAAGGCGACGTCGGCGAGAGCTTTTGGAGAGGACGACCTTAGGATTCTCGGGTTCAAACTCCAAAGGTTCGGTAAGATTCTCTTCGTGACTGTTGGTATAAGGAATTTTGGAGAGGAAGGACGAATTTCCGAGATGTTGCAAGGATGTGGAGAGAAATTTGATGTTGGATGTTTGTTGGGAGCAAGAAAATCGTCGGTACTCTTTAGCATCTCCATTTTAGCTCTAAGAAGTCATGAAAAAATGGTGAACTCTGGGCATTCCTGACGTGGCACAAGTTATTTAATTTGATTGCCACGTCAATTTTCTGATCGTCCACGTCAGCGGACCTTTGCCGGAAGTCAACTATGAGACAAGATTGCAAACATTTAAAAAAGTTGAGTTTTATGTATAAAATTTAAAAGGTTGAGTTTTATTTGCAATTAAGCAAAAGGTTGTGATTTTTTTAGCAATTAACCCAATAATATACTATTTTAATGTTATAAAATTTACTAATTTTTAATTACCTATTCTACAAAATTATTTTAATTTTTTAATGTAATTATAAATATTTTGAATATTCTTTCTAATCTAATAATTCACATGACAGCTCGACAACTGTTGATTTATCATTGTAATTTATAACAACGTATATTAGAAATATTTTAATTTTTAAAATTAACAATTTACATCATTGTTCGACAGATGACTTATTGATTTATCATTATAAAAAATTATAAAAATACACATTATCAAGATTTTGATTTTTCTATTAAAGCTTATAATTTAGATGTTAGCTCGATAAATGACTTGTTGGTTTATGATAATTTATAATTTATAATAATCCTCTCTATATATAATTTCAAAATGCGCTGAGCCTACGTGGCAAATTCTCATGCTTCGGAATCCTATTTGGCAAAAAATCATGCTTTGGAGTTAGGCTTGGATATAAATTAATATTTGTATTAACTGTATTTTAATATTATTTCCTATTATAACCATTGAATTGCAAATATATTTTAAAAGTTGATAACTTTTGTATTTCTTATCGGTTTTACATATATAATACATCACATTAATCATCTTTTGATGAGCTTCGATTTGACATCCATATTGTATATATAAAATAAATAAATTATATTTATCTTTATAATAATAATAAAATTATTTATTAAAATTAATTAGAAAATAAATTTATTTATCAATAAATATATTTATGTTTAATGTAGTTATATGTTATGATATAGAAAATTAATTATAATATAACACATATAAGTCGCACAAGTAACATGTGTCATACTAAAATATATAATAATATATAATTCCTCCTATTTTTATTATTTTGATAAAATAAATGTCGTTTTAGATATTTTGTTCATATTTTTTCAATTTTAACCCTCCATCTAATACACAGTGTCTGTTCATATCTCATCTGTATCGTTTCCCATAACATCCATTAAATAGGGTTAATATTGTCAAGAAAAAATCTTAATTAGTGTGTTGCATTTGAATTGATATTATGAAGTCCGTTTGTATTTTACTATTTCTTTATATATATATGTAATACTTTTATCTATGAATTAGGCCTATTGATTGGTCGAAAAAAATGTGTATTATATATATTTATTAGCGTATTTTTATATGCTTAATTTGTATCGCACTTATTTGTTTTTCGACTTATTTATTTATTAGATGAATTTGAGTGCTATGATATTTTTGTGCATTATTTTCAGATTATTGGGCTACTTTTATGGACGGCGAGATATTAAAAAGATGTTCCAACCGGCAGAATATGGGGGTGTCCCGTACTACCTCGTACTGACCAACAACACTCCATACTCAGACGTCCAAGATAGCCAACATTTAATTATTTGGGTTTTTTTGGAGATTTGGACTTCACAAATAATTAAAGCCCACTACCTTTAGCTTGTTAATTTGTTGATGTTTGTTACCTAGCCCACTTAACCAATTAAAGGGATGAAAAAGAGGGCATCACACGTGGGTAGGACTTAACAGAGAGGAGTATTTATTTTGAGAGAATCCCTCACGCAGCCAAGGAATTAATTGCAAAAGAAAGGAATAGGAAAAAGAACAAAGACAAAAAGGAGCCGCAGCCGCATAATCAGAGAAAGAGACGAAAACACAGACGCGCGGACAGACGGAAAGCCGACGGAAGCGGAGGGAGACCGCACCCGCACACGAAAGGGGACATTCTTATTCTCTTTCTTTTATTATTTATTATGTTAGGCTAGGTTTTTATTTCTAGTTCCGGGGAAGTCGAACCCTACGACTTGATGATGTTTGATTAATTTTCTTGGTTGATTATTGAGTTATCTTTTTGGAATTGTTTGTGTTATTTTGAATAATTCACCATGATGTGTTAGTCTTGTTTAGATTGATCACCTAGTTAGGCTTTTCATATCTACATCTGAATTAGACTTTCAATCCGTAATTGTTGTTGTGTTTAATTCATAAGAGGTAACCGGAAGATGGTAACTACCGGGAATAACACGGTCTGTTTAAGTGAGCGAACGCGGTTGAGTTCACTACTTAGTCTAGCCTATTTTTCTAATTCGTAAAGCGGCTAATTGTATTAAATCTTGAAAACGTTTTTCTGGACTGTACAAGAAGTCAGGTTTAATCGTAGAGCGTCTCGCGGTTAAATTAAAAATAAGAAAAAATTCGGGTAACTGACCGTGTCATTGCCTAGGACTAGTAATTTCATAAGATAGCGAGATTTGATACCAGAATTGATTAGACGAGTCAGTCGAGGGTGTAGACGGAACCGTGAACTAGAAACTTCTCTTTATTTATTCTATTTTATTTTTATTCCTTTGTTTATTAGGATTTTTAATAAGTTTAGTTTTTAAACCAATCCCCCCCATTTATCGCTTTTTATAGTTTCAATTAATACGAGAAAATTCACGATTTGATTCACACTCCTCGTGGGATCGACCCTTGCTCGCCACTACTACTAGTTAGTAGGGGTTAGTTGAGGAAAAATATAAATATTAATTTTGCCGCGTTGCGACACGCGGTCAAATGTAATAAAAATAAATAATTATTATATAAATTCTAAAATTACATATAAAGTTAAAAAACATTGAAGCACGACTAATACGACACTTGATGTATTAGGCATCTAATTAAGTAAAAAAAACTAATCTATTTTTCTTAATATTAAATAAACATATTCTACACTTATGCATATACATATCACCATAATATTTTCATTTACTTAAGATATATATTTTTGTACTTATGTAATAGTAAATAATATCGATATTTTTATAGGATATAAGTAAAAAAATTCAACACGGGTTAACATTTTCATTTAATGTTCGGGAGTTTTATTATTATGATTAAAAAAATATAATTTAATAATTTAATTAAAACCCAAAGTAATGTTTTATATAAAATTAAATTATTTTAGTTTTAAAAAAAATAAAAAATTTAATATTTTTTACAAAAACTTCCTAATTCAACACCCGTATAATACACGGGTATTGTACTAGTAAATGTTAAATACTTTTATTCTTTATAATTTAATAATTGATGATCTACTGGTTTATCATTTAGTGTTATATATATTTGATTCTCAAAATAATGTTTACTCATATTTTTTATATTTTGTTGAATTATTTTTAAACTCATATGGATAAATATACCAATTACTATGTTAGATTATATTATACAAAATATATTTTATTCTATATGTATTTATATTCTATTGTATGAATAACATTAGAATATTTTTCTTATTTTTAAATTAGTATTAAAAAATTAATTTGAGTTTATTTTATATATGAAATATTAACTAATAAACTTATTAATAATTTATATGTAATTATTCTCTATTTATACATTAAATATGATTTTCTAATCAAAAATTATAAAATAACAATTAATTTATAATATATATATAAGGTAAACAACAGATAAAATTGGTATAACGTTATCAAAAAGAAAATAAAATTAATAATTAATCAGAAAATAAAAAAGAAAAAAATATTTACAATGATATGGAGACTAAAAAAAAAATCAAAGTTAAAATTTTTTTTGCATTTTAAAAAATGTTTTAAGTTTCATATTTTTTCTAATTTACAGTTATCTTGGAGGATTAATCAATAACCACATCTCTTAATTTATATTTTCTCAATCAAATTAAATATTAAATTTGGTAGAAATAAATTGAATTTGGAGTATATAAGAATTAGATTCATGGTGACCTGTATGATGACATCTGCGAATCCCGGCGGTGGATTGGATTGAACAGCAAGTGCGGGAACATTTCGCGAAAATCTCTCTCCCAAACGGTGACGCAACCGTCTTATGAAAGCTTCGTAATCATCTGTGTTATCTGCATGAGGATCCACCTTTCCGTCTATCTCTAAAGTGAATCGGGGCCGTCGATTGCCACTCATTATTGAATTCGATTGGATTGGATTGGATTGGATTAAGCACACACAGAGGAAACGAAATAATCAATTAGTGCTATGTAAGTTACGTTATAGCCTATAGGTACATATACATATATTTTTTTTATTTTTTTATTTTTTTTTTTGTCAAAATGGTAGATTGCATTTCACCAAAAGTTATTACAAGTGCATTAGTTGTGTTTCCATTTTTTTGTTTGCTTTGGTTAATTTTAAAAAATGTGGTATAGGTAGTTGTTAATGAATACATTAAAATAATATTTAAAATAAAATAATTAAAATTGATTTAATGTAAAATTAAGAGAGAGATGGTTTGATGTAATAGTTAGTTAAAATAATGTGAGTAGATGAGTAGTGAATTAAGGTTGATGTGGTGTATATGAATGATTGATTGATATCTATATATATAATAAGAGTTATCATTTACTAAAAATAGTAGCAAAAAATTTAGGAAACATTTAATACATACCATTTTTGAAAACCTTTTAAATGTATGTATTAATTGTTTCCATATACACGTTTCAAAATAAGATCAAATAAGATATGATAAAAATATTACTTAACTAAATTTATTAATATCTGCAATATTTTCATTGATATTTATTCTAATAAATTACAAGATTGTTTATTCGTGATTCATGTTGATAATAACTTGGCCAAGATAAATATATATTTATTAATATTCGTAATACTTTCATGGATATTCATTATAATAAATTACAAGATTGATTTTCATGATCCATGTTGATAATATTTTGGTCAAGATAAATATTACACCATATTTTAAGTTCTAACCATAATATTAATTTTTTTTTTCACAAATATTCACTTTTTATTCAAAAATATTTATGAAAAATCGTAACAGGTTAGGTAGAATTTTTTTTCTAAGTAATGAGATAAAATCAAGTTGGTGAATTAATCTTTGCCAATATATTTTTTCTTAAGATTTATTTTGTTAAATATAAAAAATAAATTGTTCTTCAAATTAATATAATTTACCATTTAAGACATAATGACCAGATACATTAAATAGTTTACTAATGGTAAAAAATTAAAATTGAAATATATTAACTATTTTTTAGAATTTATTTGTATATTATTGGCACCATGATTATTTTTTTTATTTTTTTATTTTGATTTATTTCTATAATTAAATTCTTGTAAAATATATTTTCATTGCAGAGTATGTGAAATACACTATAAATCCTTATAATACAAATTAGAAAAATCTTGATCATAGAAGGGATTGGGTTTTTGGCATTTTCTAAATCAAAGTTGTTTACATAGTATACAAAATTAAATTCTAAAACAATATGTGTATATTTTGTAAAATATTTATATACTAATTATTTTTAAATTTATTTACATATTTTAAATTGATTACATAAATAAATAATAATAACGTGCAGTAAATATTTTTTATTACATAAAATAAAAGGAAAAGAAGACGTACAACTTCTATAACTTTATAAATAATAATGACATTATATGACAACAAAGTTTGTAATAAAATAATAATTAAGTATTATATGGTGAACAAGAATAAGTAAAATTGTTATTCTCTCTTATATCAAGGAATAAATATATATACTAAAATCAAATTTATATTAGTATAAATATGTTAGTGAGATAATATATTAATTATTTTACAAGCTAGCCTAATATGCTCATATTTGATATTCTGACTAAAAAAACAACGCTGATTAAAAGAGGTGCAAAATAGATTGTAATTTTATTATTTAATACACTTAATGTTGATTAAAAGAGGTGAAAATAAATGGTAACCCTATTGCTTTATATACTTAAACGGACAAAGCCTGTGAAAATAACTCATTTAATATTTATGTCCCGTGCATCGCACGGGGTACATACTAGTTATTTAATTATATTGATAATATTGATGATAGTGAGGTTGAGTTAAAGTTGAGTTAAAAAAATAATTAAGTTAAAATATTTGAAACTTTTTGAAAATTTCCATAAACAAACATAGGTCCCATTAGTCCAAGGAGAACCACCCAATAGTGTGGCCTAGATAATACAATATGATCAGACTAATACATATATCAACTTGGAAAGACTTTTGTAGAAATGCACCAGTCCTTGCCATCTTACTATTTTTACCACGGTATATGTTTTTCCCTTTTTTATTTCACATACTACAATTTTTTTATACTTCATCTGCATCAATATATTTAATATATAAATATATTTTACCGTTTAGTTAATGTTTCTCATTCTTTCTTTTTTCAGTTACTGTGAGTTAAATATCTATGCTATTTTTTTTCTATTTTAAATTTCACTTTTGTATTTTTTATGAATAAAACATTGATAACGTTTTTTATTTTTTATCCAATTTTTAAATAATATATACAAAATTAATTATTTATCTGATAGAATAAACTAAGATTTATCTATAAATACTAATGTAAATACAATAAATGCGCTAAGATTGTCCTTAAAAATAAAATTTAAATTTACATCGGTGATTTTTTAGCACAAAATAATGTGAAATGATATTTTTTTATATTTATTTACAGAGTTTAATATATACTTTTAGTAGCATAAAAGTATNACCAATTCATAATTACTACTAGAAATCCATTATCTTTAAAAAGAAAAAATAAAATAAAATAGAAACTAATTCATAATTACTACTGAAAATCCATTATCTACTTTAAGAAGCTAATTTTTATCAGTCTAATTACTAATATTTTTACAAATATTATAAGCTAACCATACAAAAAAGTATAATAATAATTTTAAAATGGTGTGTAATTAAATTTTTTTATATTATCTTATACAAAATAATTTTACATTGTTTGACCCCGAATCTTTAATTCATAATTATTAAGTATTGTTTATCTTCCTCTTTAATTTATAATTATTTCTTTTTTTGCTTCCTCTTTTTAAATAGGATCAATATTAGTTTTCACTTAGGTCATTGAGTGACTCAAACTCGAGGTCTATTTATAATATTGTTAATTTAATATTGTTTCCGTGCATCGCACGGGCTATACACTAGTATACTATATTAGTATAAATTATTACGTTATAGATTTAAACTGATTATCTTATAAAATAAAATTTATTTATATTATGTTAGAAGTTAGAAATTATTGTGTTATAGATTAGAATTGATTATCTTATAAAATAGAATGTATTAATAATATGTTAGAAATTATTGTGTTATAGATTAGTATTGATTATCTTATGAAGTATAATTTATTGATACTAGTTTGAAAATTAGTATAAATTATATTATTATATATTAGAAATGATACTAGTTTGAAAAAAAATATATTAGTATAAATTTTTATGTTATATATTTGAATTGATTGTCTTATAAATTAGAATTTATTACTATTTTGTTAGAAGTTAGAAATTATTATGGTATAGAATTAGAATTGATTGTTTTATAAATTTGAATTTATTACTATTTTGTTAGAAGTTAGAAATTATTATATTATATATTAAAATTGATTACCTTATAAATTAGAATTTATTATTATTATGTTAGAATAGAAATTATTATGATATAGAATTAGAATTGATTGTCTTATGAAGTAATATTTAGTACTACTATGTTAGAAGTTATAAAGTATTATGGTGTTATACATTATAATTATTATCTTATAAATTAGAATTTATTACTACTATTTCAGAAGAAGCTATCGAGCAGGCAAAAAAAATTGTAATTATATGTGGTTTCGAATTGATCATCTCGAAACACAGAAAAGAAGGAAAGCAGAGGGTTTTGAGGTGTCACAGAGGGGAACGTTACAGAGGCAGTATAGAAAATTTAGCTAAGGTTGTTGTGAGACGTTCGAAAACTAAAACGACCAACTGCCTTTTTGAGATAAAAGTCAAATTGGAGACATGATCTACAATGACTGTGTATGCCGAGGGTCATCGATAGATGAGCAGACTTCGGCCAAGTGACACAACTTTTAATGGTTTAATTGCTGCATTGAAATTAAATTTAGCTATGACACTAACATCATGATCCCAAGCGTGATAAAATTGATTCGATTAAATACAAGTCCATTAGAGAATGAAAGTCAATGGCAAGACGTTTTCATTAGTACTTCAATTAAACATGAGTTTGAATGCTTTTCCTACTATAATATTCACATGAATCATATAACTCTGAGAAAAATATCAAACAATTTTGTCATAAAACTCGGTCTAATCATACTGAATTAATCGGTCTCGAAGAATTGCTCTAACAGAATCTGATTTTTTTCGTTTAATTTTTTATTTAAATTGGTACTTATGAATTTCAAATTTAAGTCAGAATTTTATTTTGTATTTTAAAATTTATTACCGAGTTGAAAAGGAGCGGATTTAAGAAAAAAAGGGGACTAATTTTTAATAACATCACTCATCAGTATTTTGTTAGAGATAATTAGTATTATGTTATATAACATAATAATTTCTAAGTTCTAACATAATAAAAATAAAAATTTATAAGATAATTATTATAATTTATAATATAATAATTTCTAAATTCTAACTATAAGATAATAAATTCTAATTTATAACATAATATCTAAATTCCAATATAATTCATATAATAAATAAAAATTTGATTATAAAAAAATCAAGATAAACTCGTGTGGCGTAATTATATTACAATACTAATTATAATTTCACTAATATATATATATATATATATAAATATATTAATTATAACCAAGGTTCTGAAAACCGGACCGGTCATCGAACCGGTCTAGCTACTGATTCAATGGTTCACTGGTTCGACCGGTATTTAATTTTTTTATACATTTAAACATATATATAATATTTTATATGATAAAATTTATTGTTAATTAAATATTAAGAAAATTTAAAACATTCAAATACTTAAACTAACTAATAGTAACTTATATATATCTATAGTATTTAAATATTTTTTTTATTTCACTAACAAAAAGAAAAAAAATGAAAGTGGGATGATAAGTGAATTTTCTTTTATTATGTAAAAGCCCATAATGTTTTTCTATATTTCATGTTCATTTAATTAAATTTAATCATTTATCAATTTAAGAAAGTAATAAGTTTAATTAATGATAATGTGATATTCATCTTGACATGCATAGTAAAATGCGCTAAAGCAGGGAT